TAACCCCTTCGGTTTATTGCGTTTCCGTGCTACAGGATGCGTGTATAAGGCACACATCTGTGAAGTTCTTTCAGAGAGAATCTAAACAGAAAACCTTGCGCTGCCTGACATCTTGACGACGGACAGCTCTGCAGAGGAAGGTGATGATAAATGAAGGTGCAGACAGAATGCACGATACAAAAGAAATGGTCCTGGTTAGGTGGAACATGACGGTTGCCTTCCTGCACAAAACAAAATGAATGTATGTGAAATGAGGAAACAAATTACCTCCGAAGTCGGCCTCGGTGTCGTCAGTTCCAGAGCCCCAGATCCCTAGAATCGCCGCAACCCCCACCACACAGACAATGGATGGCTAAAGAACGTTACCATGGAGCGGCAATAGATCACCGAAACTTCCACTTTTTGGAAACAATACCACTATTCTGCAAACCTTTTATGCTACGTACATATCTCTTATCCTCTTTTGTTAATTACAGAATCCCTTTGTTCTTCTAAGTAGTGTTTACTTTCACTTCCCTAAGCACTTCTAGCGTTTTAGAATAGAGCACGTCATATTATAACCTGGTAAAGGTAATTAAACACTACGCTATGAAGGTGAATGGGGGAGTGAATGTATACATCCACATTTCTTGACCTCGGCACTAGCTGGAGGTGAGTGGTCAGCTTCACGTGCCGGCCGCTTTAACCCCGGGAAAAGAGCCCGCGGTACCCATTTGATAGGAGATTGGGTGGACCCTAGAGGCGGTCTGAACGACGTGGAAAAAGAAAACTCTTGAACCTACTTGGACTCGAACTCCGACCTCCTCGGTCGTCCAGCCCGTAGCCAGTCGCTATACCGAATACGCTATCTCGGTTCCTTTTTTATGACCTGTAAATTTGATTTCTAAAATTGGCACTTTTTTAAAACTTCAGTTCAAATTAAAATGTCTATAAATTTTCTGTTCTTTTTCTTTTTCCAAGTTTTTAAAAATTTGGAAAAAGAAATTGACGCGTGTAGGTTAACAAAGATTTTATACATACATACAATTGGAAAGACTGGTGATTTTAAATTTTAAACTACGGGCAGTGTAGCAGCTGCGTAAGAATACACACCTGATGATGGCCAATTAGGGCCGAAACATGTAGTGTGGAGGAAGGGAAGAAGAAAGAACTACAATAAAATTGTTGCACTTAAGACGGAGTTTGTCTCATATATATTGTGTGAGTGTTACAGGATGCTTAAATATAATATTATAATATTGTAGAATATTATATTGTATACAATATTATATATTGTAGAATCGTGCCGGAGATCTATTGAACACAGGATTTGAGGCTCTCAATTTGGTGACTATGAGCAATATTATCTTTGCCAAGGGTATTCCTTTCGAAGCATGAAGTTAATCCAAATATTCAAGAGTTCATTTTCTTACCTGAGAGAAAACCAATTAATTCTGTTTAGGAAATGCATTGCTGTTTATTATGAGAATCATATGAAACACATAAATAAACTCAAAAGGACAAATACAGAGTTCCCTTATTGTTAATGCAGGTGGCGGTCGCTCGGTCGGTATTATTCGCTTGCGGACTAAAGCCACGGAGTTTGTTTGGTATATATAGATACTGCTGAGGGTTGAAGTGTGTAATTATACAGAATGTCTGAGAAGGAAAGGTAAATATCCTGGGAGGACATAATATCGGTCATTCTAAGCAAAAAGTTGTATATGTACATGTGTCATATTCCGAACGGTTTCCGAGATAGAGCTGTTTCACTGTACAGTTCCAGAACTGTTGAAAAGAAAGAGATATTACGTACTGTTTCTAATACCGGTATTTACTGTTCGAGTGATACAGCTGCTCGTCTGTACAGTGTACTGTACAGTGAAATAGCTCTGTCTCGGTGCATCTCGTGTGAGGGCATGTCGTGTTGCTTGTCTGTACAGGGTACAGTGTACTGTACAGTGAAGTAGCTCTGTCTCGGTGCATCTCGTGTGAGGGCATGGCGTGTTGCTCGTCTGTACAGTGTACAGTGTACTGTACAGTGAAATAGCTCTATCTCCGGAACCGTTCGGAATAGGACACATGTACAAACAGACATTTTGCTCTGAATGATCGATACTATGACCTACCAGAATATTGACATGTCATCCTGGGACATTCTGTATATTTAAACCTATAATATATTATATAATATGTAATAATATAATTATCTACCGAAAGTATGTTAGCTGTGTTAAGCCGAAAGGTAGAAGGAAAGTGGGAAAACCAAGATGGAAGTGGCTGGTAGCTGTAGTAACTGTTTCCGAGACCTGAAGATGATGGAGGCGATTGAAAAATTGTAGAAATAAATTGACATCTGTCATTTTGGAAGCCAAAATTCTTACAGGGCCATCGAACAAGGGAGTAGATAGTTATTTAGAGAGGGTGGGTTTCCCCATGCACCGCGACCAGTTTGATATATTGTGCTTCCCTCTATGATATTCTACCAGTCTCTTTACCCTACCGATAAATGGTGCGTACCATCAGTCCCGCCGAGCAAGCGAGTTCGGCCACTTGCTTAGCGGTGTCTATAATGCTTACCACATCTATCAGAGGCCTTAGAGACTATTGTTGGGCGGGAAACGTCCTGGAATTTGGCTCAGTGATCCCCTTTGGGGATATGAGGTTCTTTTACGTGCCGTAAAGTTACGACACGGGACACACAGCTTAAAGTCCCTCCCGGAGGACTTGTTCCCTGAATTTTTCCGCCCTTAAGAACAACGGAGTAAGAAAACAAATACGCTAAAATTTATCCAAAACATATCTGAGGATACGTCATACGTTTTGTAAGAAATCTTACGGAAGAAAGTTCTTTGTATTCAGTGAGATTTCGGCTATTGTGGTCCCCAGCGTAAATTAAAGTAGGATCTAGTAACTTCTGGTGATGACTTATCAATCCACGTCACCGTCTAATTATGCCGTCGCACCCTGAGATACGTTTTAGACACATAATAGCTGAGTAACTATTAGCTTCTCGAGAAGAACTGTACGATATTCAGCGAAGTTAGTTTACGGCCCATCGTTTCTTTTTAGTTCAGTTTCCTGAACAGTCGTTCAGTTACCCCTGAACAAATTTGTGCGTCATAAAGCAATCCCCAAATCGTTGATAATATGATAGTTTATCTTTCAGTGAGGGTCTGCACCAGACAGCAGGTAGTCAGTTTAGGGGAGACGACATAAGAAGACGGTTTAGCAGGAAAGATCTCCCTTTCCTGTCGCTTGACAGCGGAGGAGTTACCACCCACTGTGTGAACCATCAAGTGGGGTTTTAGCAGCACCATCTGTCTGGTATACAGCATCCGTCTCCATCCCACACGTCTCTCATTGAGCTACCACTGGAAGAACGTTCGTTGCCTAAGGGAATGAACTCACTAGGGCCTATATTTAACCCCACCTGTGCTTCGGAATGTCTCATAAACCTGATATAATTTATGATCAGTGACACTGGTCGTTAATCACATCCGGAAATTGACTGCCCACTTGCAGACACGCAGCCGTTTTAAATTAGAATTTAATGAGATCCAAAATACTCACGACAGTGTTTGTGAAGGCTACTGTGTTCCTGAGATTTAATATCGAGCAATCTGGTAACGTTTCAGAGCAACGCGCTGCCTCCATCTTCAGGTTAGAAGACACTGCACAGCTTCACATACCAGCTGGCGGGTGTAGGATTATCATGGTGTTACTCAGTTCATACAGGCAAATGCCTGGATAGTATATCTGTTATTTCACAGTAATTTCCGTGTAGATTAATTCCAATTCATTATTGAATATATATCATTGAACCATTCGACGCTGTATTGTCAAGACACTGACTCCCTCACTCACTCGTGGAGCTGAGCCCTTCTTGAGAAGCCACCAGTTGTGCAGCTACTCAAGAACTTTCCAGCATTTTATGGAACCCGAAAGTTCATTACCGTATTCACAAGAGCCATCCAATAGTCCCTATCCTGAGCCATACCATCCCATCCTGTCTCTCTAAGATCCATTTTAATATTGTCGACCCACCTACGCCTTGGTATTCCCAGTGGTCTCTTTCCATCTGGCTTTCCCACCAATATCTTATATACATTCATATTCTTCCCTATTCATGCTACAAGTCCTGCTCATCTCATAATTCTTGAGTTGATTATTCTAATTATACTTGGAGAAGAGTACACATTGTGAAGCTCCTCATGCAGTTTTGTCAAGATCCTGACAGCGTCTAAAACAAAAGGGTCTTCTGGGATATGACGCCGTGTAGTTTGGTAGATGGATACCCACATTTCGGAAGAATCCGCTGCCTCAAACTTCAGACAGAAGCAGGCAGAACGTTCTTCGGGGAAGTGGGTATCTAGCCACCGGTCTGAATGACGTCACATAGTCATCTCAGTGAAAGCTCAAATCTCGCCCCTTGAATCACTTCGCGACAATTTTTCAGCTGCTTGGGTTACGTAAAGGCGATCTCTGGGTCGATTTCATGAATAATGAACTGGTAAGAATATGAATGGAGGCCTTCAATGTTTATTATGATGTAGCAATTGTTTGTAGGGATTGAGGATTACCACGAAACCCAGTCAGGACAACTAATATCTAGTCGGAAATTCGGCGCTGAAGAAAGAGGCATGAGCGCCGCCCACAAGGCGGCGACGTCCATAGCTGAATTAGAGTATTTGCTTAAGTAAGCTGAAACAGTGAATTTGAATCGAAACAAAAGGATTTGTTTAACCTTAGAAGTGCCACGTTTGATCTTACATGGCAAAGCTGCCACTCTAGATCTTCCTAGAAGGCCTCCTTTCATGGGCAGATATGCATAAGAGATATTGCATTACTTCAGCGTAGGAAAGAATTATCTGCAGTTTCCCCTTGATTGTGTAGTTCACGTGTAAAATCATCAGATGTCACATGCTGCTTGATGTGTCAAATTTTGTAAAGAGCGAGATTTTCAACACTTGGTACTTGTAGGGTGAATAAAGTTGGAATCAAATTCATTATCGTTTCAGTGGTGGTGTTGGGGAACTTCACAGAGGAGGAGGTAGAGGGTGGGATCCTGAAGACAGACGACCACGGCAAGGAATATCCACTGCAGAGGGACGAAGTGCAGACGACTCCGAGTCGCGATGACCGAGCTAACACCGCGGGAGCAGCGTCTGGCGGCCCGTCTGGAGGGGCCGACAGTTCTGGGTCCAAGCAGTACATCGGCCTCGTGATCGGCGTCCTCACTGCCGTTATCTTATTGCTCATGGGAGCTATCATGTTTATCGTAGTCCGGAACAGGCGGCTGAAATCGGGTCCAGGGCACAGTGTTCTGCCCGGAGCGTTCGGCGGGGCCGAAAAGGGGGTCACCATAAACATGAAGGTGAGTCATTCAGTTCACAGATGGACGCTGAAGTCTGATGCCTCTGACACTCGACAGATATTCTCGGTCCTGTTAGCAACACCACTGCTATTTACTCGGGACCTTCGGGCTATCCTGAATGAGGTCTTTCCCGGTTTTCTGGAGTCCCTGGGGAATTACCTCAAATGAAGCCACACATGCTTTCTTTAGCAGCCTTCTGAATTCGTCAAGTAACTAATTCAGTAGAGTAAGGATAGTTATCTGCCGGCCACGGTAGACGAGCGGTCTATGGCATGCACTGTCTTCGGAAGCCGGGATCGTGGGTTCGAATCCCATTCAGGGCATGGAAGTTTAGTGTTTGTGTGCATGTGTGCGTTTTTCTGTATTTGTGGACAGGTATAGGCCTTGCGACGAGCTGATCACCCGCCCAAGGAGTCGTACCGAATGTCTAAGATCTAGTAAACCGATGTGAAACGGAGAGTTTCATGGAAGTAGGCCAAGGCCCAAATTGGGGCTGTATAGCCAATGGAAAAAAAAAGGATAGTTATCAGTGTTATTAATTGAGTGGTGTAGTTCTGTGAAACAGAAGCTGCCCGTGGATATCTCTCACCTTTATGTCGCATGATTAGTTCTCGTGTTAAAAGGAAGAGTGTTCACAATGGCGGTTATGTACGAGTACATGGTATGAAAAAGTAACAGGAACACATTCACTGCTATTTCCTATGGGAGTCATTAATCAACGTTTTCAATCCATATTTGTAGAATGAAAAGAGTTTACGTGGGGACGCCTGACTTTTTACATTTATTTTGACATGCAAAAAATACTGCGTCTGTATAATTATGTACTGTGTGGCTAGGATAATTTTTACTCCTGTAAAAGTCGTTATGCGCGTGACTTATATTCAACTACTACCCGGTTCGATTCGCGGCAGCGGGAATAGTTGATAGAATTTTATATAATTTAATGACATGATATAAAATTTTGTGACGGTGGTATATCAATATAATTATACACATCTTGGGCATTATCCATCGTCCATTTTTTATTTAAACATAACGTTGGGCTCTGTCTCCTTCCTCAGATTAAGGTCTACTCAGTTGGACCCAGTCGATAGAGGAGTCTCTATCTCCACTCCAGGACACGACGATGGATAATGTCCAGAAAGTCAATAACTGCAGTTTAATGACGTTCCAAATGCATGAACTATTTACGGAACAATCAGATTGGACTGTGGTGATGAATGCGGGGTGTGTAAATATTTGAAAGAAGGCGGACGTGGTCTGTATTAAGAGACAGTCACGACATTCGACTGAAAGGACCAAGGAAAGCCATTAAATTCTCATTCTGAGTAACTGGTAACAAGGCCGAGCTTGTAACTGGTTGACAGTATCTGTCCTGAGTGAGCACTGAAAATGATACTGTCGCATCTGCGTACTACATAAACTGGATGAAGATACAGACTGGTCAGCAGTTCTGGTTATGAATATAGCCGATCCCAGTGGCCCAACAGTCTAAGGTACGAAATGTCTTCGCTCGCTTAAGCACTGAGATCGTGGGTTCGAATCCCACTCGAGGCATAGATGTCTGCATTTATTCTGTGTTTGTTTTATTCCATCCCTTGGGATGGGATGATCTCCCGTCCAAGGAGCCCTCCAAACTGTCTATAAGATTCAGAATTAATTCTAAATGGAAACAGGCCAGAGGGCCTAATCCGTCAAGGTAGAAGTAGACACAAAAATCGAAGGTTTCGTTTGGTACATTTAACGTGGTCATAATCAATTACTGGTGGATATCGCTGAACAGCAATGGCTTCCTGGTGAAATTTCAACAGGCTTCACTCTAATTAACATTATAAATACAAACTTAGATGCTGTCTGTTTATGTGTCTGTGGCTCTACAGCCCTTTGTTGGACCTTGGCCGCTTTTTGAGTTTCTTATTCCTATATACACAGTCGGTAGGACTCCTTGGACTGGGGATCAGCCCGTAGCAAGGACGCTACCTACACAGAACAATACAAACACAGAATAAACGCACACAGACATCCATGTCTTGAGTGAGATTCGAACCCGCGATCCCAATGTTCGAACGGGCGAAGACAGTTCATGTCTTAGACCGCGCGGCCACTATCATCGGCAAACTTAGATGCTGTACAGCCGAAAACAAAACTGGCATAAGGTTTACTCCTACTGCTCGTCATAGAGGATGCCATGCTCTTGCGGAACGATCCAGGATTACAGATTCATACGAAATCACTGCTTACAGTTTTATAGAGGTCAGTATGTACGGCCTGGGACGAGTCACAGAGAAGAGTATTCAGCACATTCACTTCCACTGACTCTTCGTCTGTCTTAACGCCATGATGAAGTTGTTTCCCATATCAATTACATTTTTTTTTAGATTTTTTAATGTATTACCACATGTATGTTTTGACATTTCTACTTGATTTATGACATCGGCCATAAAACATGTAAACTTACGAAATATCTGCGTCATTTTGGTTTGTAAGTATTAAGTATCTCCCCTTCTCTTTTCTAACGTTGGGCTCGTCTTGTTTGTATGCATATGTATAATACGTTTTCAGATGTTTCCCTTAGGTCATGCCATTAGGAAGTGAGATTTCAACTGTCTGTCATGTGGGTAGAAGATTCTTAAAAATAAATCTGAGATACAACAGAATGACGAAATGTTAAACGCATGTCATTCATTGGAGGAACTGGGATAGCTCAGTCGGTATAGCGGCCAGGCTACGGACTGGGCAAGCAAGGAATTGCTGTTCGATTACCGGTAGTGGCAAGACAGTTTTTCCTATCTTTGTAACATTCATATCAGCTCTGATGACCACCAAGCCTCCTATACAGTGGGTACCAGAGGGGATTTTTTTTTCGGATGTAAACCGGAAGCGTCTTGAATCTGACGACTCACCTCCATCCAATGCCGAGGTCAAGAATGATGGAGCTGTACCTCCACTTCCAATACGTCTTCATGAAGTGGTGCATAATTAATTAGGCCAAGGAAAACTGAATGTATCTCATTAGAATTGTTTGAGTATTCGAAATGTACGGTCTAATTGGCTATTACGCCGCGTAGATCGGGGTATGACCGACGTTTCGGATGAACAAACCAAGGAGGAAACCAGCGGAAGCAGGCAGCAGTGTTACATCTACGTGAAGCACTGCTCTCTGCATGCTTGTTGCTTGGCTTACACTTCGGCACTGAAGATGGAGGCAATATTTTCCTGCAAAGCGTCTATGAAGTTGTACCAGGCTACTTGGCTCCACATTTCAGGAGTTCATTTCTTTCAGAGTTCGCGTCAATGTCGAAGCCTGTGTTTCCACTTCAGACGAACTATACCGCCCTCGTTAACAGAATTCCTCACGAAGCATGAACCTGTTTTTGTGTTAACTCCTTTAAACTGAACCCCTTAATGTTGTGATTTTCCTGTGCGTTAAATAAAGAAAAACAGGACGCCTGCGATGTAATTCTGCTGTCACAAAACGAGGGCTTCGGTGTATAAGTCGTTCTCCCTAACGTTAGCTGATTTACAGCATGCTGAGAGATCAGGCTTCTTGTCGTGGGTCTCACCCCCTCACCCCCTTATTGGTACAGTACTTGTTTTGTATTCATTAGTGTCGCTATACTTAACATATGTATAAATAAAGTATAGAGGGAGTCTTAAGGCACTCAGGTCAGGCATGAGTCTTGCTAATGTAAAACGTGGGCCATAATTAGTCCAGCGCATTTTGGAAAAATCCCATTTTTAAAAGAGTATGGTCTTCTTGTATATGATGCAATGTGAGTTGGAGCATCCTTTTCACTCCGTCCTGAAGACAGAGGCACCACGTTCCTCCGAAACATTTCAAAATATCCACCAAGCTACACTTGTTCACTTGGCTATAGGAATGTTGACAGTCATCTCTCACATCCTATCATTGCATTCAGCGTTTTCCTTTTGTGGGTTATATTAAGACGTCGGAGACCAGACTGTACGTATAGCGTTGAATGAAAGAATGAAAGATGAATATTGAATAGGAAAGGATTTGGAAGGAAGCGGTCGTGGCCTCTTCCAGGTAATATTACAGTAATTTGATTGAGGAACTGAAGAAAACCAAAATAATTTAAGGACACCCGGTGTCTGGGTTGGGAGTCGAACCGAGCACATACCAAATACGAGTCTACAATATTACTGCTATGCTAGCCCGCTCGGCAAAAACCGTTGCACGATTTCAAAATTAAGTTACAATACTCCCATATCCAGTAACCAGTAACTGGAAACCGTTTTTTGTTGTTGCATACTGTAAATAGAATTACCCTGTAATCTCCATGGCGACCTACACAATGAAAGAACCAAACCCCAGAAATTTATTTTGGCAACAAGTAGAATGATATTCGAGCTGGTCGGCTAAACTTTAAGGCTCAAAACTCGTATTTCTGAAGACCCTCTGCTCGAATCTTGCCTGCAGCGCCGACTCTCCTGACTGATATTTTTCGTGATTTTATTCAGCCCCCTTCAGGAAAATGCCTGTATACAACCTCTCATTACGCCTCTACAGCTCCCACATTCCTTCCGGTCCGGTTTTCACTAATCAGCCTGGTGGTGTCTTAAGACAGTTATGACTAACTGAATAAGCATGAAGCCTTATAGTTTTACCTCCACTCCCCCATACGTCTCCACAGCTCCCTGATGAAGCACTGGTACGTACCGTAACAAAATCTGCTAGTTGTAGTGACATGAGCAGTGACACCTCACCCAAAAATTCACTGAAGCGAGATTTCGAACAATCGAACTGCATCAGACAGAATACCCACCCCTTCCATTGGCTGGGGAAGATTTGGTACCAACCGGTAATTGAACTGGGACATAACAATGCCAACGGAAGAACGCGAGCATCCGTTAGCATTTGATGGATGAGGAAGGAAGGTGAAAGGCATGATGTGCTGATGGCGGTGTTACTGACCTCTGTACCAGTCAGCACATTCATTTCCCCTTAACCTTATTGTCACGTAGTCATTGTGACTAGA